AAAGGAGAAGCTCCAATACATTTTCCAAAGCCCCCAACTCATCAAAAAAAGGTAATGGTTACGGTATGGTGGGCTTCATTTGGTTTAATACACTACAGCTTCTTAAATCCTGGCGAAACCATCAATGCTGAATCATACTGTAACCAAATTAATACCATGCATCAGAAATTGGCAGTAATGAAGCCCTCTTTGGTCAATCGGAAAGGGCCCATTTTGTTGCATGACAACGCTCGACCACATGTGTCACGTGTAACGTCACAAAAATTATTGGAGCTTGGCTATGAAACTTTGCCTCACCCACCCTACTCTCCGGACCTCTCGCCTACTGACTACCATTTTTTTAGACACCTGGACCACTACTTACAACACATAATATTCAAAAATCAAACGGAACTGGAAAATGCATTTATTGACTTTATCAATTCTAAAAATTCTGAATTCTACTCAGACGGAATTAATAAGTTACCAACACGTTGGGAGAAATGTATTGAGAGTATGGGAAATTATTTTGATTAAAGAACATTGCTTTAAAGTAACTAGTTTCTTTTTTTTTGTTTAATACCAAAATCCTGCATTATTTTCCGGACAACCCGATACTTTGTAGCACACGGTAGAATATCGTTGCTTTCGTTATCTTTTTGGCCATATAAAGTCAGTATCGTGATTTTCATTTTTTTCAGTCCCAGTACTTCGACATTTACTGTAATACGATCACGAAATGCGGGTTTGTTGAGAGGACGGAACTTTTTCTTGCATAAAAAGCGCATGATCGCCGCCCTACTGAGGAGGAAATTTTCCTTTCGCACTATCGCTGTATAGAGTAAAAGTAAAATCTCTTATTAATGAAAGACGTCGGCCTTTCTTTCAATTTGGAACTCGTGCTATTCAAATCGATGATATAATCTACGCATTCTACGGCAACCTCGGGCCCGGAGCCGCAGTTATCGAACTAACGGAAACACTCATATTTGAATTAAAAGAAACACGAAGATTGTGCAATTTACCTGCCGAAGTTGGGAAATTAATTCGTTTTCTACCAGCTTCTGGTCATCAGGCCGAACAAAAATCGTTTTGATTTTGAGGAAATCGTCGACGCCGGCTAGTTCAGACTCTCATTAACAAATATTGAATATTTTTGTCAAAAATCTATTCTTGTATGTTTCACACTAGTTGACGGCGGAAGTAATGCAGCCTTTGAACAAGCTTACGTTTTGTTTAAAAAAATGTTAAGCAACGTCAATGTATTACAAAATATAAATTTTTACATGTAAGCACATGCTTTCTCTTATATAACAATGCAGAAAAGTCAGTGGTACACAAAAGAACTAACTACTATCCGACAAAAATTGCAAAATCTAAACGATTTATGTAGGCTTTTTAACTTTGAAAGTTTTGTGTGTTTTGATGAAAAGAAACGGAAACAAATTTAGAATAGTAGTTTGTGGCAACTGTACCTGCAGAAAGAGCAGCAAATGACGCAATTGACTGATAACGCAAATATTAAACCAAGAAAAAATATAAATATAGATCCAAACTATCAGTTTTGATGGAAACGATTTTAATACAAAATTTTGTGATATGGTAAACAATTCCACTAATATATATATATNGTGTGTGTGTGTGTGTGTGTGTGTGTGTGTGTGTGTGTGTGTATAATAATAATATAATGTTATTTTTTGATCAGAACAAGTATTCGCCTTGCCTATTTCCTTAAGGGCCGGAAAGATTTGATAATCTCTATCCAAAAACTCGAGAATATATAGATCAATCAATCTGTTTTCTTTGTTATTGATGATTTTTGTAGGGTTGCCTGTCATATTTGCTGCTTTAACATTTGCTATGATTTTGCAAATGCCTCAAAAAAACCGTGACTTCCTTCTTTGCACTCTAAGCGTAGTGTACCGCGGGTGGCTATTTAAGTTTTTTTACCACTTTGACTACCAAATTTTGAACAAATTCCACGCTTGACTGATGACAACCATACAGTGTAAAATAATAAAAATTAATTCAAATTTCGAATTTCATTGGACCTAGGAATAGGAACAATTTCCATCCAAGGTAATCTATACGATAGTATCACTGTTTTCACTTGTGCTATTTCCGGTGTAATGAGACTGGCAACAATTGTTAATTTAGTTATTTTCACAATTTCTCTTTCTCTAATTTTATTTTCAACCTTCTATTTAGTTTATTCATTTATCCATTAGTTTAAGACAAGAACATTGATTTTATTGATGATATGTAATTTAATAGGTATCGGGTACTATAAGTCATAATCTACCTTAAATGAAATAATAACGAAGGTGGTACGGAAAAAACTAGAAACCTAGCAAAACCATCAATTTTCCAAGCTGAGATCCCTACAAAAATTCTGTGTCCAAGAAAATTAAAAAAAGGATTAAAAGTTGCACAGATATTATCAGACAGCCAAGCAGCGCTGAAGTTTAGTCTTCACTTTCAAAGCTGGTGTAGGAATACGTAATATATCTATAAATCCGGGAAATCGAAAACAGGAAACTCTGATGTGGGTGAGGGGATTGAATGCAACAAGCTGACAAACTAGCAAAAACAGGAGCAGCCCTCACACTCATTGAACTAGAACGGCAAGGTCCCAAAGCACGCTAAAATAGATTGAAAAGATGACACACTGGATGAATTCACGAAGTTCCTCAACATCTCAACACGGAAAATTAATCTACCTCTCTCTCAACAGGCAGGACTTATACTATAGAAAATAGTAGGCCTTTATACTGGCAATCCCTAGATAGAAACACATAGGCATGAGAACACGTCCTGACTGCAAATCCACTTCAGAAAGGCTAAAAGGCACTAAGACATATCGAAACGCGTTGGCACGACGCGAACGAAACATCATCTTTAATTTGATTGTTTTTTCTGTTTATGAAACTTGAAAATATGAATATTTCTATAATCAACTGAAGTTGATAGATTTACGTTCCGTATCTGATTTCGACTGCTTAATCCATTCATCACTGATTTCCTCTCGCCACCATTCTCTGCTACATTCATGTTAACGTCCTTTTTTTAATACTCTAACCTCCTTCGCTGTATATAACAGATTGTAAATATTTAAAATTTGGATATTACGAATCTTAAAGAGGAAATCTAAAATAAAATCGAGGAAAATAAATGGAACAGAACGTCCATTTTAGAAAAGTGCCATATCCCTTGATGCAAAGACATGACCTCAACAAGCGGCGTTAAAGCTGTCCCAGTCTGTGTCTGCTGTGCTTTGTACGAAAGTACTGACCACCAAGAGTCAACAGACATCAACGACCCCACATGTGTCTGCTGTCTTGTGGTGCGTCGTTTCACAAAGTCCCAGTCATTTTCCTATGCTACAAAGGTACATCGCGCGCCTCAATATTCTCCTTACCTAAGGCCTAGAGAAATAAGTGAATAACCCACAGAAGTACTTAACTATATTAAAAGTAGTGTACTTTTTGGTCTATGGAAATAAAGTATTCCACAGGTCGTAGCGTTAAGTAAGGGAGAATTAAAGTCACCAATGACCTCGGGGGAGGGGGGATTATCTCGTTTTGAAAAATCGTAGGATTTTAAGAAAGGATTGTTCCCATTCTTCTCCATGACATTCCAATTTTTTTACATTCTCTCAGAATTACTTCTAACCAAAAGGTAGGAGGAAGTCGAGTATAAATTACCAGACAGGCAAAAGTAAGCCGGTGATAAGTTTAGACAAGATTTTTTAATTAGGTTTCCATGCCGTATTTAGTTTAAAAATCCAATTCAATATGGTTTTAATGACTTCCTTGTCAATTAAACGATCACTTTATTAAATATGTAATATAATCAAATCTCTACTCCTCCCACTTTTGGAAGATTGAAGTCGAGTTTTATGTAACTTATCATTGGCCTTGCGCATGAGATAAGCATTTTAAGACAGCCGTTTCCGCCAATTGTGTATTTTACATAAAGTTTGAGCCACACGCAAAGAAATATTTTTGTCAGTGCATTCTAATCGCGCCCCACTCGAAAAATAAATACATGACATTACAATATAAATTCTATAAGATTTACTTGTTCATAAGAAAAGTGAACAAACAGTATTTTTTAAATATATATTTTCGAAAGCTTTCAACATTACATAATATTTGGTTTAATAGAATATATAACTAATTGCAACACATTAGCTGTAAATGACCAACATTCC